ATATTGATGATAGGAGGAAAATCGCAACTTATAATAGTTTTCATATAGTTTTTGAATAGCTAAAGGAAAAATTACTAGAATATTCAATTTAAGACTTTAATTTACATAATGTTAATTTACTCTTTTTATTTACAACATTATCATTTTAATTACAGACCTGACAACTTAATAAATATACATATCTTTATATGATTCTTTTACCTATTTTTTAGCTTAGTGGGCTGATTTTATGTGTTTCATAATTTATTATTTTTACTTTTTTGATTTTCAATCACAACTATAATTGGTTACATTATTTTTGCCTTTTTTTTTTTCTCTTTCTTACTTAAAATACAATTACACTTTTTTTTTCTTTCTCTTCAATTACGTTTTTTTTTTACTTTTAGAATAATAAAATGATAAAAAAAATATGATATAGAATGGCATAAACTTCTTGTTTTTCTTGATATTATTTAAGTGCAGAATTGGTATATATATGGTGGTAAAATTATGAAATAGAATAGTATAAACATGTTGTTTTTCTTGGTATAAGTTATCTGCATAATAATATATATATATATATATATAGCGGAAATTAGGATATGTAATGGCATAAACATGTTTTTTTGGATATAATTTTTTTAATATTGTATACATTATGGTAACAATTTGGTGTACATTACAATTTTTGACGTACCATATTTACTTTGGAATTCTCAATGACAATTATAGTTGAATATGATTTTTTTTTACTTAAAGATCCTATTTTTTAGGATGCACGTCTCTTTCTCTCATTTTTTTGGTTGATTTTTTCAATTCTAGTGCTGATTTTTTGGGGGAGAATTTATTGCCTAATTAGTAGAATTTCTACCATTTAATACATTCCTTATTTGATACAATTACTCTTGAATTTATTATTCTCTCTCTCCATTTTCGTTTCAATTCTTTTATTAAAAAAATCCCAATTTAAGTTCCATTATATAAGTACCAATATATGCAAAGTAATAAAAAAAAACATTTGCATACCACAATAATTATTTATGCATACTAATTTGTATATCAATAATAGAATTCTTTTAGGTAATATTGTAAAAAAGGAAAATATGAAATCTTATTATGGTGTCAATTGATGTACAATATGCTTTCAATATATATTTTTTTATTTGTAAATAAAATTTTACTAGTATATAATTTAATTCTTTAAAACGGTATACATTGTGGTATAGAACTTGAAATTACACTAAAACTATATGACACTATTTACGAATAACATTTTTTATTTGTAAATACAATTTTACTAGTATATAATTTGATTCTTTAAAACGGTATACATTGTGGTATAGAACTTGAAATTACACTAAAACTATATGACACTATTTACGAATAACATTAAAAATATACCATATAATAATACTAACATTTGTACTATATAATATACCAACAATTATTGAATTCTACCCCATATAATATACCAATTTAGTTGATATTTCGTGCCATTTTTTTTTTTAAATGACATTTAATACCACAAGGAAAACAAACATAAATAATAGAACTAATTACATCATATGATTAAATATGATTCTGAAAAAAAAATGTTTAATAAATAACCAATAAAATTCAAATCCGCTAATAACATTCAATTAGATTATGAAAAAAAAGTGTTATAAAAAAAAATTAACTCAACAATGCCAATCCTCATATGAATATTTGGTACAAGTTTTGGTATTTGATTATTTTTTTTAAAATGGTATATGCGTCACATATCACTCCTTCAATCTTGAAATCCACATACCTTCCTGCAATACATTTCAAAAATAATAATTAAAGAACCTACTTAACAACCGTTATAACAATCAAATTTGAAATACACAATCATTATTTATTTTACATCACCAAAAAAAGTTATATACGAAATGGTGTATAATATGGTTAAAAATTGGTGTCCACTTCATTATTCTTATAATGAAATTCGAACACCAACTTATAACCAACTATATATATAACATTGATTTATGAAGATTGATAAAGTTGAACATGATTATATGTTACAATCCAACGGTGCATAACACCATGATTATATGATTAAGGTGTTCATTATGGTGACAATTTGGTATACATTTCAATCTAATATATAAATTAGGGCTAACCCATCGGTGGCCCCTTAAATTTGGCACGAAATTTCACTTAGGCACCTCAAGTGGATGATGTTCATTTTAGACACCTCATGTAGGGTTTCGCTGTGTCATTTTGGCACTTTTTTGCCGATCAACAAAAATACATGAGGTGTGTGTTTACACTCGCGATGACGTGTAAAGTGGCAAATTAAATGATGACATTTGTCAAAAAATAATTTGTAGATATGAATTTTGAATAAAAATATAAAGTAGCCAATGACTCAATGACACGTGTATTTTTGCCCAAATAAATTTTTAAAAACAAATTAAATCAATAAAATCCCACATGACCCCCCCCCCACACCCCCGCAATTGTCTTCTCCAATAACCCCCATTTGCAGGTTCCTCCTCCAAATACCCTTACTCATTTGTAGAAAAAACCATACCCATTTGCAGAACCCCCCCGCGTCTTCTCCAAATACCCCTACTCATTTGCAGAAAAATCTGCACATACCATTCCCCCACCCCATTGTCTTCTCCAAATACCCCCATCTCTTTTTTGCTAAAACATCTGGGCACCTACATACTCTTTCTTTTTTAATAGTGTCTTCTTCTTCAAAAAAAAATTCTTTTTTACCCTAATTAGCAAGTTTAAAATTCACCAAAAATTAAACTTACTCCTCTTTAAATATTAAATTCTTTCAAGAAAGAATTTCTTGAATAATTTAATATTTAATCTTGAAATGGGTCTATTCCTAAATTTCTTTTTATTCACCATGTTGGATATTTAAGTTTGCAAAAATGGTGGCTGAAAATGGGAAAGAAGAAGAAAAAAATAATTAAAAAATCGACTAAATAGGTTTTTCACGCGCGTTCAACAAGTGTATTACACTCACTATGCCATGTAAGCAAAAAGTGCCAAAATGACACAGCGAAACCCTACATGAGGTGTCTAAAATGAACATCATCCACTTGAGGTAACTAATTTATTTATATAATAAATTTAATTAAACAATCAACTAAATGCATAATACCATCATATAATATCTATTTTTAAAAATTTACACATTAATTATAGTGTACTTGAATGGTGTACATTATGGTGTATAATTTAATATGATAAATAATACATATTTTAAACCAATATTACACCATGATCTTACCAAGAATTTTATCAAATTATTTTGGATAACCAAATTAATTAAAAAGTGAGTACATTACTATTTAACATAGATTTCCATATTAATATTGTCATTAAACAGAGGTAAATTTATAGAATTCGAGTTATATTAGGTGTTAATCTTGATTTTGATTATATTTGCAATCCTACAATTCATAATACCATAATCTACAAACCATACGAAATGTTCGTTTTAACAATTATACAAATAACATCAGTGCCATGAATGATTCATCAAAATCAATATACAAATAATAAAATTTTCATGATTAACCACAACAAAAAAGCCTTAAAAAGAGATTTTTCAGCCACTGAAACATTTGTTGTTGTTTTTTGAAAAATCAAACTATATAATCTTACAAAAATAAATCGGAAGTAATTTTAAAAAAATGATACGTACTGGTGATATCTCATAATTGTCGTGCTGAATTAAAACGGACACGTTCTTGCTTTCAACCATTGAAACGACCTTAAACAGGAGATAAAGATTTTGCTTTTGGTTACAATATATTGTTTTGAGATATGAGAGAGAAATATTAAACAATGAATATTTATGGAAGGTAACTCAATTGGAGTAAATTAAGGAATTAATAGCTTATTTAATATTGAATGATGCGTTGCTTCTTCTTTTTTTTACCCTTTTTTTAAATTTATTTTTATTTTGTAAAGATTATATTGCTATGTTGGTGTAAAGTCAAACTATTGTTATATAGAGGTTATTTAGGTGCTTAAATTGTATATTTAAGTTTTTTACCCATAGCTAAATCTTAATTTTAAATATTGAATTATTAATCAAATTTAGCTTTGAAAATGAGTTAAGTTAACTCTCAAGAAGCTAAATGTGACAACTATTTTGGTACGGGTGGCTAAAAGCCACGTTTAAGAACGCAGGTCAAGAAAATAAAAGAATTTGATGATAGAGATTTCCGATGATCAGTAGCAAACAATTCGAAACTCAGTGGTGCACGATTCCAAACTAAATGGATAATAATCCCTCCCAAAACGTAAATCAAAATTCACTTTATTTAATTTCGAAAAAGTGAAAAATATTGAACATCTTCAAACAACAAGAGTAATTAGTTTGCAATTATCTCCATAATCAATACAAAGTATGCTTACTATTGACATAATGGTTAGAATCTATCCATCATTGACTATGCCAACTAAAGGGATTAATATAATGATTAGAATTCCTCCATACAACAACAAAACTTGACTATATTCAACCTAATACGCGACTTTGTCTCATAAATGAGATCTAAAAAATGAAACGTATGCAGACCTTACCCTACCTTGTGAAAGGTAGAGAGCTTATTTATGATAGACCATCAACTCAAAAGAATTAGTGTGCAAACTCGACATAATTCTAAATCAATCAAACCAATGAATTCCGAATACCAAATTATTAAACCACACAAAGCAACATACTTACTTACATCCATGTTAACAAAAACATAGAATAAAAGGTTGTCTTATGACAAGATTAGTGGCATCAATAGGCTGCAAGATGTACACAAGAAGCCTATCTAATACTTCCAACATCATCATACCTGTGAAGTCCCACTAAATATAGTGATAGAGTGTACGCAAACCTTACCACCACTATCTCATAGAGGTAGAGAGATTGTTTCCGAAAGCCTAACTAATACTTCCAAATTCCACATATTAACCATGCAAATGATTATTTTTTGCTTAAATTTTTCCAAAATTGAATTACACAAACCATAACATTCAAGTACATATTATTTAGATAAGATATTATCCATGTAATTTACAATAAGCACCCAAAAGGCACATGAGGATGAGTCTCTTGTCCAAATGAAAGGTAGGTATTGAGTATTAAACAACTGATATAATTTACAAGAAATCCAATTTCAGTCAAAATTGGATTCAGTTCTTTCTTTTTTTCTTTTTTGCTTTAAAAACATTCATGGCCTAGCCTAAGAAATTGCAAGATGTACTTGCACCTCCAAGCCAAAATTGGATTCCAGCTCTCTTTTTTCTTTATTCCATTTTTTTTTGTCCTGCGTCTTTTACATAGCTCCAATGCTTCATGTAAAGGAGTATTTGATGTATTTCGAGCTCCAGCATCTGGTCACTGCACATTTCTTCATGTGCTCTCAGTTGTTTTCCGCAAAGAAGTAAAATTGAACCTGCAAAGAAGTGTGCATAGATCACAAATCTAAATGCGCCTCTAGAAAAGTTCACTCATTCAATTTGGTAGTAGTAGTAGATACAATACCTGATGAGAGGCTTCTGAGGAACCACAAATGCAGCAGATGCAATGCTGGAGGACGGTGCTGGCTCAATCGGCTTTAAGGGGCAACGGGAAAGAGGCAAAAGATTAGAAGTTCGCATACAACATTTACTCATGATGTAGCAGGCAAGCTTATTAAGGCATACAATCGAGTCACAGAGAAATAGAGTGGTCTAACAAAGAGCTCTTTATTAAAGCTCCTGAAATATTCTTCAGTGCGAAGACTAAATGAAAAAGGGAGACAAAAGAGGTGGAGGAAAACATGAGCTAAAGACTTATTCAGGAAAGCAACTTTGAACATATCAAGCTTCTAAATTTGACCAAATTTATGTCTTTGAATCCCAAAAAGACCAACAGTACTAATAATTTAGTCTGAGACACTTTTTGATTTCAACAAATCACAGCAACAAAATGCTGCCAATTTTTACAATCAATTCCAAAAAGACCAACAGAACTAATAATTTAGGGCCAAGAAGAATTAAGATAATTTTTCCTAATATGACAGCTTGAGTTAAGAGTGCGAGAGAGGGACAAAAGTCACATCAAAGAAAAGCACAATCAACTGGTTTGTTAAAATTCTAAAAGGCTCACTATGTTGGTCTCTGTCAGAGACATTATCCGTACAAAAATAGTCTAGGTATGATGCAGCCAAAAAAGTTGAAAAGTGAGGATATTTGTATAATGCAACCTGTGTATGGAGAGACTGAGGGTGCACAAAATCAGGATCTCAAATGACAAGTATTCGACACGTTTGGGATTAAAATTGAAATCTATGAAGTTAGAAACAACCTCAAGTTCTTCCAAGCCCTCGCTTTGCAGGACATTAGTGCTAGAACCACCAATTCTGTCCTTTTCCTCTGATGTTGCTGCCCCAACAATTTGCTCTGGTGTAGGGGGCACTGTCTGCAGCTCATTAGCCCCATCAAAATGCTTAACTCCATTTGTCAATTCCAGATCATACCCAAGATCTTCGACACCATGGGGTCCACTTTGCTGGCCCACAGTCAGTTCTGCAGATTGCACGACTGTTATTGTCTCTGTTACAGTTGCACCAGATGCAGGCGCGGGCACAGGCACAGGCAATGTGCTTTGGTTATCAACAAGCGTAGTACTCGAAGTATCACCAATATCGGCATCAAAGCGTTTCAACTCTCTACTTTCACCTGGTGAGCTGGCATCACTGCCTTTTGGGCTAAAACCTGTATTAACTTCGTCATGTTTTCTCTTTCTGCTAGAAGCAGCATCTGGAGATGTTGTTTTAGCAGAGCCAAGCGATCTTGAGCCTGAACGGCTTTCACTTTTTGCAGGCTGAGCAGGACGTACTCCTCCCGAGAAGACAAAGTCAGGAAGATCCTTTCGTCTTACATGGCACACATGAATCCCCATGCTAGATTTCCAAAAAGAATATGCATATACATCTTGCTTAAAATCCTCAACTGTCGACCTTATATCAAATTGTTCGCCTTGTTGAGGATTAACACCTTGTTTTCTGCGCAATCCCATAAAATAAGAATGGTGAAATGGCTTAGATTTATCTGAGAATTCACCCGGATGTGGATGGCACTGAAGTACACCGACTGTGTCTCTCTCAATCTGGATGAATAGAGAAAGGAAGCTTCAACAATCAGTTTCTTTGGCGAAGCAGTAGAGCTGAAGCCATCAAAATGTGAAGCAGAAGAAAAGAAACATCACCTTTAGAGTAAGCAGGCGTATCCTAGATTCAACCCATCCTTTCCATTGCCTCATGTCATCGTCACTTTCTGTAGCTATGTCTATTCGCAAGTAGTTTTTATAGGCTTCAAAGAAAGGGAAAGGCTCAAATAGACTTCCCCAGCTAGCTTTGTTAGCTTCTATTGCCTGTATACACACAAAAGTAAGTGAGTGAAAGAAAACCTCAAAATTGATTAAAATAGGAATAACAATTGGAAGATAACAGCAATAGGATTAGAATAGAAGTCACAACTGTAGAGCATCAGTGCCACAAAACTCAAATGAACAGTCTAAAAAGACATTAGGAGATCAAGTATTTTAACCATGAGCACCAAAATCTTTCTTTAAAAGAATGGTAACAATAACCATGAACACCAAATTCAATATATACACATGCTTCAACCTCCAAAGCAAACATTTAAGCCTTAAATTATGGAAAATGCAAACATCAATTGAGCAAAAACTGAATGAAATTCAGTAAAGAGCTGAGATGAAGTAATCTTTGGTGACAGCAGAGCTTCTAACCTTCATATGACACGAATTCTAATTTTACTTATATGTATAGGAAGGGCTGTTTAAAATTTTCTAGGGGGTAAGAACGCCCCTTCCTAGATTGCAGCATGCACTAGAGACTACAGTTGAATGCTTACAATTCAACTGGGGTATGAATCAAGACTAAAATACTAAGACTATATAACCGTAGACATTTGTCTCAATAGCGGAGCTTAGTTTCTCCCAAGGTTTATTAGAATCAAGCATACTCACCAAGTTAAATTCTGCTGCTACTATCTCGGGTGTTAGGGTTAAGATGTAGCATTTCATAGGCATCACATTTGGGATATTATGGCTACTTTGAATATTTTTTTGTTTTTTTTTTTAAACTGGTAATTTTACTTTGTATTTTGTAGATTAAATAAAAATAGAGAGAGAGTGAAGGACATATATAGCTCTAATTTATGCCACCCTTGTTGCCAGGGATGTAAGAGACGCAAGGTAAATATAGTCATTAAGGAAAATTTTGAATCATATGGAGCTACATAATTGCAGGCTACTTCAATCCGACTCTACCAAACTACAACAATTATGACATGCATTAAGCAACAAAAACATGGAACACTGAAACTAAAGTAAGCAGAAGGTGATTTATCATGTGATAAAGACAGTTGAGCAATTGCTTCTACTAAACCAAAGATGGTACTCCCACAGAATGCGACACCTCAATTCAAAAACATGATTGAGAAACATTCCTAAATCATAGTTTTGTTTTTGATGTTGTATTAGATAATAGAAACTAAATGGGTTCAATTAATAGAACCAATAAGAAGATAAAACCTGCAGATCAAAATGATGGCATTCAGTAGAATAGAAATAGCAGTAAACCCCAAATAACTGAGCACACATAAATACCTCACAAATTTCATTCCCTCTAAGGAATTCTTCCATCATGACACGCAAGGTACTCGTTGAAACATTGTAACTCGAATTCATGCAGGGGTATGCTGGAGTTATTATCGGCATTAGATGCTGCCTATCTTTGAAATTCCTCCGAGGATCCCAATAGGCCAGCCCTAGAGATCCTTCATTTATTGGACACAGCAAAACTGGGTTTGGCCAGCGCCACAAACTGTAGACTCTGAAAAACCGAGAGACCAACATGCTAGGAGCTGCATTAGGATAAAGCTGGCAAATCCTAGCAACAAGCAGTGCCCAATTTATACCACCTAGAAATCCGGTAACCTGTCAAAATAGAAGTGACACAAGTTTAAGAGAGGTGAACTGTCTTTCACTAAGATGGCAGGTACTGCACCTTTCAAGGACAAATAAAATTATACAAGGGCCATGACGGATTCTTACATTTGAGTAAACTCCACGCCGTTTTGCCCACAATCTCATGCATCTCAGTGCGGTGCGGAAACTCTACAGGGACCAAAGGGGGGGATTAAACATAAAGTTTCAAATCATATATATTTACACAATTGCAAGGCAAAAACCTGAATATTCGGTACTAAATGCAAAACTTGATCTGTTACTCTGCATCCATTAAGACTACGAACAGTCTGATCATCCACATTCTGTAGTATAGACTCCTGAGAAACATCCAAGTCCTGCGACAGAAAAATAGGATTAAAATGTAATACGGTGCACCTTGAGAAGTTCAAACATTAAAATATTTATGCAACAGCATACCCAAGTTACAGATGAATAATAGTATGACAATAACACTAGTGAGAATTATGATCTTACAAATACAAGGAAAACAGTATAGTCATCAGCACACGACAGGACAGAAGATAACTGAACACTACTGATAACGGATAACATTAGTGACTACAAAGATAAGTAGGAATGGGCAAGTGTATATTTCAGATTTATAAAAAGTAAACAAGAAACTAATAAACCTCTCTTGAGAAAAAAAAAAAACTGTTTAGATACTTTGAAGCAGTAAAGAGTTCCAGAAGTCCTCGTGCAATTTCAGAAAAAACATACTAATTTGCATTTTACAACCAAGAGCCAGGAGAAGTAGCAAGTAATTATGCACAAATTATATAGTATAGTAATAAGATTTCACTCCCCTGCCCCCTTTCAGATGTTCAATTAGTCAATTAGTATTAAGAGCCTAAAGCAAACATACATTCTCATAAGATGACCAGGTGCAGTTCTCAATACCTATCCATTGTTATTTCATAAGCATCAAGTTGATACTTAAAGATACAGCAAAACCATAGTAGTTTTCCCTTGACCAGCTAGTCAGCTACTACTTGCATCCAAATAAAAAATGAAGGGAGCTAATAAAATTTGTCGAGCCATCCATGTCATTCGCAAGTGACATTCTACACCAAAAAGCCGAATACCCGCCAGTTTCTAAGTAGGAGACAAATTCCCTTCAAACATCCTCTATCTCCACAAAATCCACAAACTGTAATAAAGGCTGCAATTCTATTTTTCAATTTCCACTTTTGTCTCTTTTCATACCACTGCAATAAGCAAACTTAAGGATATGCCACACGACCTACGTCATCCCAACTAAGTTGTAAAACATATCGCGCATTTCCTTGGCTACTTTGGAATTTAATCAGGAAAATGAAAAAGTAAAAACACCAACATGAGGTGCTGAACCCACCATGCTAGGTTCACCAATTCAACCAATTATGAAGACAATATGCAGAAGCATATAACAAAGTCAAATCACAAATGCACATCAGAAGACAGATTTTCTAGAACTACCAAGGATGGTGCATCTCAAAGCAAGAGTATAATGAATCACATACAAGAGAATCATACCTCAGGAATAACCCAGAGTGATACATTCGCATAAAGAAGGTCTATAGAAACCCCATTGAACTTGAACTTCATAACAGGAACGTGAGCGTCAGGAACAGGATGAAGTTCTTGTATTTCAGGCATCTCTTCAAGCATTCTATGAAGTTCACCAAAGAAGTCCTGCAATGTAAAGAGGAATATTACATGCATCAACCTTCAGCACAGAATCCTAAAATTAAAGGATGTAAATTGAAAAGGTTGTCATCCTACCTCACGCATCGCATGTCTAGGTCCTACACATAGTGTGTCTATATCAGCACCAGGGCCATGTACCTGTTAAAAACGACACAAAAAAGTTCAACTTGATAAAGTAAAGGGATAAAAATTACCCGACAAGCAAGATAAGCCAAGCAATATAATATACAAAATAGACAAGCAATATAGATGTACAAAATACTCCTTTTGTCTTTATAGACTTAAAGTCACCTTTTGTGTAAAGTACACATATAATCACAATACTAGAATGTAATATGTTCACTATCTAAAGTTTCTCCTTCCAATTTTAAGTCCCGACACCCGCCTCAAAAAAGGGTGATAGCTACTACAAAGTATCACTACATAATTCTTCCCCATAATCTCCCAAATTTGAAAAGCTAAGCATCACAATGATGAGAAAAAAGACCAAGGAACCCAAAGGGTGAGGCCTAGTGGTTAATTAAGTAGACTGAGAACCATGAGGCCTCAAGTTCAAATCCCAACGGAGGCAAAAACACTAAGGTGATTTCTTCTCCATTTGTTCACAACCTTGGTACTGGTAGTCAGAGTTGCATGATACCTGCTAGTAGGAGATGGCAAATACCACATTCAAAATTGGTCGAGTTGCGTGCAAGTTGGCCCAAAACACTATGGATATAAAAAAGAATGATGAAAAGGGCCAAGTTGGAAAACCAACTAATAAATAACAAAATAGAATTGACAGGACAACAACAATATACCTAGTGTAGCCCCACTTTGTGGGATTCAGGGAAGGTAGAGTGTATGCAGACCTTACCCCTACCTCAGGGGAAGAGAGGTTGTATCCAATTGATGGAGAAGTAAAAACACCTAATTATTCTTGCTTACTGAAGTTGTCACAAGATCGCTATAAATTAAAAGGTCTGCAAGGGCTTGCCGACAAGTTTTGGACCAAATGAGCACTCCTCAATCAAGTTCTATATTAGATTTAACAAATTTATTATACATGCAACTGCCTTTAACCTGAGGAAATCTTGTACTCCCTAAATATCCAATCAAGCAAATACCCCCGACCCCCCAAAAAAAATCTTCAATTTAAGTTGTTACAGTACTGAGCCATAGAAAAACAAACAGAAGCGTCAGACTATATGCTACAAGTTGAATCCAACAAAGGGAATAAACAAGACAAAATAGAGACATACACCAAGCCGATATGAACCAAATGTGAAGATTTTTGCATTTGCCTCATGCACCAGGTCATCATTGAAGCCTTTAGCACGACAGACATTTTTCACCCACGTCTTCACAATCTGTTTCACTCCAAAATCAGTAATTAATGACTTTGTTATAGAAGACTAGAAATTCTTAATTTCAAAAATATGAAAAACCTGGTCTAATCTCCCTAGCACTTCTTCCCTTTTAATGGCCTCTTCGTGACTTTCATATAAGCCTGCATCTTCAAGAAACTGAAAAAGTGCAGTCCTCATCAGATATTTTTTAAGAAATACAATCTCTCTCTCTCTCACGCACACAAACATGTGGACGCGTGTATATATATATATATATCAGTACCTCAGAAATCATATTTAGGTTCAACCATTGTTCTCTCTTGAACCAGACATCATTTCCTTGGGAAACTAGTTTGTGTCACTTTAATCATTCAATGGCAAAACAAAACATAGTTGAGAAGGAAAACTTAGCTTGATTTTAAATCACAGCTTAAATTGATTTTTAAAGCACCCTCTCAATGCCATAAGTAGAGAGCATGGTTATGTCTGGTTAACTTCAAAATTGAATATCCTATCTTATTAATCAAGCAAATACAAAACATTTCTACTAAACACTAGTTTAGGCTCGGTATAGGCTTATAGTTGACAAGACTTCTGAAAGGTATCTATGTGAAGTATTGACCTACCTATACAAGTATTTAGGTAAGACCTTAGCTTAATTTGCTTGGCTTAAAACTTTTATTATCACCGCTACGTTAAAACAGCAACTACGATGACAATGGACCTGCAGTGCACAAGGTAAACCCCGCTCTAGTGTAATAGCCCAGCTATAGTGTAATAGACCTCAAACCACACAGGAGGGTTAAACCACACTAGGCAAGCCTCGTGCGACGAGCTCGAATGAGAAGGCATGCATGGGTTTCAAATCAGAGACCCCCCATTTGGGAGATCCCTGCTCAACCAACTCAGCCACATTTGCAGGTTACTTAAAAACAGTATTTATAATTACTCATACTCATAGATATACAGGTTTGGTTTTTTTGGAGTTGAACAGCAAATCTCTTTGAAGATCCATATGTTCCAACTGATATACTCAGTATTTAACAAGTATACAATGGAACTTTTTAACTTACAAATCAGCTCAACAAACAAAGTGGACGACACACAACCTCACAGTTTATAACCTTTGAATTATGCAAAATCAACTCTACCATGAATTCAAATTCAGAGGAAACTCCTTAACTTGTTAAACCATAGTATTCTTTATACATAATCTGAAAACCCATCACAAACACAGCAGAAAAAAATATTTTTTTCCAATCAAAAGCATAAGGTAAATCAAGAACAAACCTTTTCCAGTTCGCGGTTTCTAACAACATCCAATTCAGAGGGTCCACCAGTTGAAATTGGCTCAGATATTCCATATGCAGTGTTACTCATCCTCTCCAGAGAACACAAATAACTATTTCTCTTTTTTTCTTTTTTACTCAATTGAAAAAACACAGCAAAACTCTATAAAGCTCTCATCTTTTTTGCATATAATAACAAAATAAACCTTGAATCACAAATTGTTTTCTCTTTTTTTCATAAATCCACTTACAACAATCGAATGTAACTGGAGAAACAAAAAAAGGGCAAAATCAAAACTGAAAAAGGAAAAAAGAAAATTTATGAGTATTATACTTTAGACAAATTCTCATTAAATTGAGAGAAGCTACAATCAAACGAAATACAATAAACAAACACCAACAACTAAAAACCCTAACTTTCTCGATTTTTTTTTCTTTTTTTCTCTAATACAACCTTCAAACCACCAACAAAGCTACCGTAGCTGCTCGAATTTTGCAAAATAAAGCCTTAGAAACTGTGCTATTCTCTCAATTGACGCCGATTTTTGCTCGATTAAAGCTTCGTTCTTCGCAGGATCGAAACCCTAGAATTTAACACCAAAAACAAAAAAAAAAAATCAGAAAAAATAAACCGATTGAAATTGAGATTATATATACAAATATATGTAGATAGAAAAGAAATGAAAAAAGAGGAGAAATTGAAGATGAAGCTTACCGGAGAGAGACGAGGCGGAGCCACTGGTCGACGAATGAGGAACACAGAGGAAGAGGGCACTGAAAAGCAATAAATAATGGAGAAATATTTTTATTTTATTTTATTTTTTGTATAAATAAATACTACTTAATAAATAGGGGAAGTAGATTAGAACGTTACGAGTTTGATTCGTGAAAAAGCATGTTACAAAAATACATGTTCAAACGGCTTATAATAGACTATCGTGGTACGGTCTTTTTTATTTTGAGCCACAAAAATAATATCATAAGACTACTTATAATAGGCCCTTATATGATACTTATGTTTCGACTCATTCTTAAATATATAAAAAAATCTTTAGTAGGGAGTGTTGTCCCCCGAATAGTATACTACGCGATACGAATCAAAATTAATTGAACACAATATAGATACCAAATACATATTAAAAAAAAATTACATACATATATTTATGGCTACTATTCGACTAATTTATATTGGGAATGTGATTAAAATTAAAATATTTCATTTAAATAATTTTTCTATTCTCATTGCTTGAACTTGTAACCTATAGCCTATAGGTAAGTCCGTAGGTGCAAATACATCTCATTTATCTCATCAAAAAATGAATGAGATCAAATTTTGACTAAGAAAATATGAATTACCAACTTAATATCTCTTTTTTATAAGAATTTAAAATTTATTAAAAATTAAATATGACGCACTTTATATAGCTTAGTTTCGGTAGTTATAAACAAAAATACCAAAAAAGTGTATAGTTATAAAGGAAAAAAAAAAAGAATTTTAGTTTACTTGTATGGATCCCTTGCTTGTATAATAACTATGAAAATTAAGAACGAGAAAAAAATTATTTTATGAGAATATATTAAATTTTATTTTAAAAGTGACTCGCAAAAGTCAAAAAGAAAATGAACAAGTGATACTTTCGTGAAAAGAAAATTGATTTTTTTTTTTGGTAAACAAAAAGAAAAAAAAAACCTATTCAAATAGTCATAGTTTCTCTTCAATAATATTGTAGTCTCCTTTTTTCAATAATATAAATACAAATTAGAAACTAAATAAAATGTACCTTATATAGCTTAGTTTTGGTCTTTTGGTAGCTAATATATATAAATAAAAATATAAGAAAAGTTTATAGTTATAGAGGGAAAAAACCTTTATTTTTACTATGATAACTACGACAATTAAGAACGAGACGAAAAAATAGATTTTATTTTAATAGAGACACTCAAACACCTAAAGATCAAAATGAAATTAAACAGATAATACTTTTGTGAAAGGAAAATTAATTTAGAATCAAGAAAGTTTAACTAAAGAGAAAAAAAAAATGTTTTTGAATAGTAATAAGTTTTTTTCAATAATGTGGATATATATATAGGAATGTAAAAATTAATCTAGTTTTACATACCATCAATTACAAAAAAGATTTGTTCTTGTGCTACAAACTTTATCAAGTTCCTGTATGATCACGATTTCATTGGTGATTAGTGTACAATAATTTGCACAAATATAAGTTAGAATTTAAAAAAATAGTAATAAATTATCACAACAAATCAAATTTAGAAAAATAATTAGTCAATATAAGTGTAGTGCAATGAGCAAATATAATTGACACAAGTCATATAAAGGTGGAAAATGATGCTTTCCAACTCACTAATTAGTTAAAGTTTTAGGTCCTTAATAATTAAAGCTAATAATAGTGGAATACGGTGATATCACACTTATGCTACTTTGAAAATTTATAATTGAGTAGGTTACAAATATTTTATGAATTTAGTAAAGATAAGTGTAAATTGATTTGGATACTATAATTCTAAAAAATATATATAAGTGGACACAAATGTGAGTGTGTCAATTATATAAAATCTATCAAGACTTATATATAAGAACGAATCTACCATCAAGCTATTGAGTTCATCTGAATTCAGTACTTTCGATACTGAATGTAATTATCTGTCGATATCAACTCTATGAATTCTATCGAGACTTAAATGCAAGGAAGCTTCCTCTTCTATCAAGAAGCAAGCTTAAAACATAAGTACAAGCTTTACGCAGCTCGAATATGAATTAATCGATATCCCGTTGAATGTGGGAAACCAATTTTAAATAGTTTCCCAAAATACACGGGCGTGAATGAAATAAGGGTAAAACTAAAGGGCTCCATGTACAAATTCCTCTACTTTAATATTAGCGCCATTTTTATCTCAATTTTTCAAAAAATATATATTTCGAGCAAAAATGGCGGGTTAGGGTTTGATCTCATTCTCTCTTTTCCACTCTGAGCATCTGGGTGAGTATTTTTCAGCTAATTTTGTGTAGAATTTACTCTATTTTTGTCAAATCTCAAATAATATCAGTAATTTTTAGATATAATTTCTGTTTTCTTGATTTTTTTGAATCAATGAACTCAATATGGTTGAATTTCTGAAAAAATCGGATAGATTTGAAATGTTCATAATTTTTTGCTTCTGGGTTTTCGATTTCAGCGAGTCGTAGCGAAGATTGTGGTAAAGTTCTCTTTTTTACCATTGAAAATGACAAGTTATTATGACATTGATGATTTATTAGCTGAAGAAGAGGTAATTTTATTTTATTTTTAATTTTTGGTTAAAAATGATTCTTATAAGCTATTTGGTGTAAATATATTTATGGGTTTGATACTAATTTTGTAATTCAGATGGTTCCAGCTGTGTTCTTGCAAACAGCTAATGAAGTTGGGATATTTGATTGTGCTGATGACACTAACAAGGTAAAATACCGAGGGTTACTATCTGTCGAATCTGTTTCATTTTTCGCGACCAAAGATTGATGGTTATTTCCTCTTTGAAATCCAGGTGGAAGCGGGTACACATGTGGAAATGCCCTTTTGGCTTGCGCAGGAGCTATACGTGAGACAAGCGGTATCCATCAAAGTTCCTCCATATTTTGATACCAAGTAAATATCCTGGTGTTTCTCCTTGTAGTTTCATGCTTTCCTCTATTTTAAACATGAGTGGAATTAGTTAAGTATGCGAAAAGTAGCAGTTATTGGATGAGATGTCGGATATGTGTGGACACTTGGTCTTACTTGTGCCAACATCAATTTATTGTAGTATATTTTAGAAGTCGATCAAAGGATTGTAAGTGACTTGGTGTTCTTTTTGGCCTGATGAAAATCTGCGATGCTCTGATTCTTTTCTGCTTTGTATAGAGCATGTCGTAGCTCATATGATAATTCGCATCTCAATTCTAACTTTTCTCTCTCTGGGGGTGGGGTTGCAAAAGTATGAGTGTCTTATCTCAGTATTAAAGTTCTTGGTACACAAGTTGTACTTGTTTTGTAGATCTGAGAGTAGAAACCTGTTTATTTATTATATGCTAATTTACCAGAGCCAAAACGAGGAATGAAATAGGAGCTGATGCAGCACATGTTGATCTAAGAAGTTTATGCCCCTACTTTTACGATTTTGGATGCAAGATAGCACGCCTGTGAGTTCTTCTTGACTATGTTTCCTTCTGCCTGCAACTTTTGTTATTCTTCTTATCACGTTATAGCTGTTTCCTCTATTGCAAGAACCCCCAATGCCCCTGGTAAGGGAACTGATGTAGAATGATTAATGCGAGACAAAACCTTGCTGCTTTGACTTTTAGCTGGTTATTTAATTCTAAGCATCACTACATTCATTTGATATCTTGATGATTACAAAATAATCACTTGTACTTACAATTGTCATTTCTAGTGTAGCATTATGTTCTAACTGGTCTGAATCATCAATGGTTTTAAAAAACTCTTTTAGTGTGTTATCATGCTGTCAGGCTGTCAGCGTCTTTAAATTATTTGAGAGGTATAAGTAATCTCATTTGATGATCTGGTTTGATGGGCGAATAATTTTACAGCTAATGTGGAGATGGTGTCACCCCATCTTTTGAAGTTTTATTTTACAGAATGCACCCATCAGCAAAGATATGCAAAACCCATTTTGCTGCTATCTTGAAAGGAGTGGATTCCAATTTGCCTTAGCACCATTGTCCCTTGCATCACCCCCTCCATCCCATCCTTGCACTTGGCCAAAAGTGTGATATACTGTTTCAGTTTCTTTTTCCCTGTCTAAATTATTGCCATCATCTTCTAATTTCTTGCCTAAGTGCACTCCAAAATCACTGAAGAACAGTGTCCAAATCTGCCAGCTACTTTTGCAATGCAATAGTAGATGATTTGTAGATTCTACTGACGTTTCACATAGAATACATCTACTACATATCGAGAACCTCTTTTTCACAAATATCATGGGTCAAACAAGCATTCTTTGCAGCAACCCCACCAAAGCAAGCAACCATAAAAGGTGCATAAGTTTTCTGCAACATTTCCCAGGGCCAAGCATAGTCCCACTTCCCAGTTTTCTTCCTCTATAAGTTATAATAGTTCTTGACTGAAAAAGCTCCAATAAATTCAGAAGACTGGACCAGAATGCTGCCCCACGAGGTAGTGGTAAGGTCTGCGTACACTCTACCCTCCCCAGACCCCACCTAGTGGGATTTCACTGGGTATGTTGTTGTTGTTGTTGTTGGACCAGAATGCTGCCAGGGAGGAGAGGTTTTGACCTAATATGGATGTAGTTCATAGTACTTTGTGAGAAGCATGAATTTTTAACCTGAAACTCGTGCAGTTTATGGTACTTTATATTAAGCACTTTATTTGTCAGTTAATGCTCAATGCGGTTTGCATTTCTAATTTCTTTGGTGCATTATTGAGATTAGGAGGTTGGAAGCTTTGCTTCTAGAAAGATTGATTTTATTGTTCCTTCTTCACCTATAATCTATTCCTATCTGAGTTGCTATATTAAATGTGTACATGGATTGGGAAGAGAAAGGGTGGGGGGGGGGGGGATTTGGCTTTGGAAAAGC